GACATTTACAAAGAACAAGCTTTTTAACATTTAAAGCCATCACCTCTTCTATGGATGTTAAAAGTTTTATTTGCTTGTTGATGTTTAAAAACTGTGATTATAAAACTACAAAAACTGGAAATAAAGACTAAAACAAGCACAATTACAAACTACATCTACTGTGGTGTTATCACAAATTATTATTATTTGTTTTTTGTCCTATAATAAATATGATTTTGGTCTGAGAGAGAAAACTGGAGAACAGGAAGTTGATCTAACAACTGTACTGCCTCATTTTATACTTATTTAATTATTGAAATAATTTAATTATTTGCTTAAATATATCTATGGATATAACCTCATGAGAACCTCCATCTTTATTTGAGAACACTGGTTTTAGATGGTCTGGTTGTCTTTATTCAGAGGGGCTACATTTTAATTTAATTTTTTATTTTAAATTAAATGTTTTTAACTCTTGTTAAAAAACAAGTGCTTGTTTTTATATTTATGAGGTTATATTCCTAAACATGTAGGGGAAGTGAAAAAGGAAAAATCTAGGTGCTCAACAGGTAAAACTGGGGGGCACGGCCCCCCTGGCCCCCCCACCCTGCTAGCGCCCCTGCAGATGCAGGATTCCGGACTTACCGTGACCAGGATGCAGTGCAGGTCCCGGGGCTCGTTCCCGTTGCTGTCGGCGGTGTCGTCCCCCAGCAGCTGGGCCAGCCGCCTGGTTCCGGACACGCGCAGGATGTTGATGTCGTTGTCCCCGCAGAAGGCCTGCAGCAGCGTGAAGTGGATCTGCAGCGCGATGTCGTCCTCGTCCTCCTCATCCGTGGCCAGGAGGCACAGCACCACGCTGTCCGGGTCCCTGCAGGACACACGGCAGGCCGGGTCAGAACCGGACCCACACACACACACAGAACCCAACAGAACCCGCACAGATACTCACACATTCATGAGCTTGGCGGACTCGTAGACCCCCACCGTGAGGCAGTCCTGCCTCTGAGCCGCGACCAGCAGCTCCTCCAGAGCCCCCCGAGCCTGGGTCACCGTCTGCATCCTGCGGGGACACGAGGCGCCTTAGAACCGGGACAGAACCGCACCGACACCGGGACCGTGCACACTCAAACCAAACACAGAAACTCACTTTTTATCGGTGCCGCTCGGTCCAACAAGCTCCTCCAGAGTCATGTTGAAGTCGGTCAGATAACCCAGCAGCTCCAGGATAGAAGGCAAATATCCGCCAAACTCYTCAGATAAAGTCCCGAGAAAAACGTAATCCAGTCCGGTACCGAGGTCCAGCTGAAGTCCGGGAGCTGACGAGTCTCAGAAAAGTCCAGAACGTTCCGGWCCAAGAGTCAGAGCGAAGCTTTCTGCCTCTAAAAGGCGAAACTCTGCTCTTTTATAGGCTGCTGAGGCGGCGCGGCCTCTGATTGGTCCGCCGCCATCAAAAGAGCCTCCGTCCTGCGCGCTGATTGGCTGAGCGCGGCAGAAACCAGGGAGCCCACGTGGGTGGTTTCGGAGAATCCCCCACAGTCTCTCCCTCCTCTTCCTCCTCTTCCTCCTCTTCCTCCTCCGCTTGTTTGTCTTTTTCTGTCTGAGGAGGAATTTCCAAACCTCCTCCTCCAGACCCCCCCCCCCCATCACGACCCTGCACGAGCTCTCTGGTCCAGCCTCACCTGGTCTCAGCGTGTCCGTGGGGGTGTCAGACAAGCAGGTGACCGCGGGCTCGTGTCCGAGCACGAGCGTTGTGTAAATCACAAAAACACAAGACGGTCAGGTGACCCGGAGAGGACCCGGAGTGGACCCGGGTCCGAACTGAGCTGCGAGCTAAAAGAAGCAGAACACTGGAAAACAAAAGTAGCAAAAGCTCAGCTGCAAGCTAAAGGCTGCACATCTTTAACTCTGCATGCAGCAAAAAGCTAAAGCAGCTAAAGTCTAGTTAAAGGTTAGCTGTAAGATAAAAGTAGCAAAGTGTGGCTAAAAATTAAAAGTTGCAAAACAAAAAAAAGAAACACAAGTAGCAAAAGATTAGCTAAAAGTAGCTAAATTCTAGAAACTAAAGGTTAGCTAAAAGTAGCTAAAATTTTGAAACTAAAAGTTGCAAAACAAAAGAAAAGAAACCACAAGTAGCAAAAGCCCAGCTGCAAGCTAAAGGCTGCATATCTATAACTCTAAATGCAGCAAAAAGCTAAAGCAGCTAGTTAAAGGTTAGCTGTAAGATAAAAGTAGCAAAAGTGTAGCTAAAAACTAAAAGTTGCAAAACAAACGAAAAGAAACTACAAGTAGCAAAAGGTTAGCTATAAATAGCTAAATTCTAGAAGCTAAAAGGCTAGCTAAAAGTAGCTAAATTCTAAAACTAAAGAGTTAGCTAAAAGTAGCTAAAATCTCGAAACTAACAGTAGCAAAATGTTAGCTGAATGTGACAGCAAAACTCAATCGCAACAAGCAAAAGCAACGATGGAAGCTAAAGGCACAACATTAAGAGTGATAACCCTGAAAGCAGCAAAAAGCTAAAGCAGCTAAACTTTCTTAAGTTTTGCTTTAAACTAAAAGTATCAAAGGTTTTTAGCAAAAAAAATAAAAATAAAAGTTTCAAGTAGTTAAATATCAAAATTCAAAAGCAAAAAGTATCAAAATGCCATCTGTAAGTAGCTAAATGATTAGCTAAAGTGGCTAAAAAGCTAGAAACTAAAAACAGCAATAAAACCAGCTACAGGTTAAATGTGGCAAAACAGTATCTAAAAACAGCAGAAGAGTAGCTAGGAGCTAAATGGTAACAGCAGCAGCAGCTGGAACAGATTGTTAAAGATTTGAATGTGTTTTTATTGGTAAAATATTTATAAGTAAATTTTAAAAAGTATAAAAGTTACTGAAACTCAAAGGTCCCTGCAGCCGAACGTCTCCTGGATCAGCTGAATGTTTTATCATGAAAACAGCTAAAATAACAAAGTCTGCAGAGACTTCAGCTGGAACAGAAGCAGGTCTCAGAGTCCCCCAAGTGGAGAGGCTGCAGGCAGCACGGGGTCCATCCAGGGTCCATCCAGGACCGGTTTCTGCAGAAACCCCCCCCCCGGGGGGGG